AAATTTATCAAAAGAGATACCAAAAGATATTTAAATGCCTTTGATTTGCATCTAACCAAACAGCCCATGCATTTCTAAAATGCATGCATTCCATTTATTTTGTATCTTCTCAATGCATATATTTTAAAAAAATCCAACCAAACTACTCCTAAACGAATAACCGGTTAGATTAAACAAGCCCTCCTGATAATGAAACTATTAAAATAATGGAATTTTAGCAAAAAATGGAAACATATACATTCTGCGAACATATTGCATTTCTTTTCTTTATAAGAGATTTTTGACTCATTGCTATCAGTTCAAATCAAAAGGAAAATTGTCTTAACATTGGTTCAAGGATATAGGTTTCTGTAGAATTAGTTTGTTGCACTGTTATCACACATTCAATTTGCACTTACAAATTGAAACCAAGAGAAATTTCTTTCCTGTAAAAGTTTTTTATTACATGTAATGATATAATTGTTACTAGTGATGATGAAAGGGAAATTCTTAAAATAAAAAAGTGTTTGTCACCGAGTATGAAATCAAGGACCGAGGAATCATGAGATATTCCATAGGTATGGAGTTAGCAAGGTCCAAGAAGAGCATTATTATGTCACAGAGGAAATAAATCATTCTAAATTTGCTAAAGGCGACAGTTGATTGGATGCAAACCTATTGATATTCCAATGGATCCCAACAAGAAGGCTAATAAGATAGAAGAAAATATATCTGTGGATAAGGTAATATATCAACTATTGGTAGACAAACTCATCTACTTATAACATATTAGGCCAGATATTACATATTTGGTCAATATTGTGAGCCAACATATGAATAACCCAAATGAAGAGCATTTTGAGATGGTGTATAGGATCATGAGGTTTCTCAAGAGAACTTCTGGTTATGGGCTAATATTTGAGAGGACCAGATACAAAGAGGTAGAAGTTTACATTGATGCAAGTTGGGTTGGGAACTCACTGACAGAAGTTCCACCACAGGTTATTGCTAGTATATGGGAAATTTGGTCACATGAAGAAGTAAGAAGCAAGTTATTGTCTCTAGAAGCAGTGCAAAATCAGAGCAAAAGACACTTGCCTTAGGAATCTATGAATGGGTCTAGATTTAGAAATTGTTGAGGGAATTGGGGCGTACCTCTAATATGTCTTGGCGTGGGTGTGTCTCCCATGTGGGACACGACAGTGATAGCGGTCGAACCGGTTGCTTGAACCGTTTCACGCTAAGGGAGGAGAGGGGCCTTAATCCTTCCTCGAGGGGGATTTGCCTCCTAATCGAGAGGGCCCACCCTTAGCTAACTTAGTAATATTTATACGTCATTTTCCTATGTTTAGGTTAGCATTGATTTCAGATTTCTGTCGGTACTCCAACAGTAACTTGTCCTAAAATGGTGTTTATCTATCATGCCAGACATCTCCAGCCTCATCTCAACCTCCCCACTTTTTGTCTCCATGTCGTCGAACCCTCCAACTTGCTGTCCTTCGATGACCAGCCCTCCTATCTATTATTTCAGTGCCACCAACTGCCCCTCCACTTGTTTTCCTTGTTGTCGTGCCTTCCAACATGCCGTTCTTGGTTGCCAGCCTCGCCAACAAGCACACCCGCCCCCCCTAAACAACAACCCACCGCAACCTTCCACCTCCTTTGAATCTGGCCCTAGTTAGGTGTCTATGTTGAGTGTTTTTCGTCATATTTTCTTTTCTTTATGATCTTGTCATCGCTAATTTGTTTCTAGTAATAATATACTAAACCTATACAAACTTTTCTTTATTTTTCCTATGTGGTTTGGGTTAACTCCAATATTAAACCTATACAAATATTTTGTGACATTCAAGTAACTATCTGTATTGCTAGGAACCGCTTGCATCATGATAGGACAAAACATAATTAAATTGATAGGTACTCATTATCTCTACAAGGTTAATGGTGGAATTTTACAACTAAGTTATATTTCAACCCACTAAAATAAGTTGCTGATGGCTTCACTAAAGCTCTTCCTTTAAGCAACTTATCAGAATTTAATGTCGAGCTTGGTCTCTATAAATTTACGAGCCTACTTGATGGGGAATGTGTAGATCTAGGAGGTTCGGCCTCTTTTTCTTGGTGGCCTAGGCTGACCAACGGAGTAATGGATGATTTGATTGGAGACAGTTTTTGGAAACTCCTTGATTAATTTTTATTCTCTTCCTATTTATGTTTATTTTAGAATTATTTTCTTTCCATATTTAGGCTAAATATATTTGGTAAGATTGTAAATTAGAAGAGATTATCTTACCTATATATTTAATCTTATGTTTGAATGATAAGAATTAAGTGAGGATTCTCTCCTACGTTTGTTGTCTTCAAACAAAATGAAATTAATAGGATTGTTTGAATTTGTGAATATATAAATTACAGCATATACTATTTAGGGCTCTTGGGAATTAATTTTTCATATAGTCATTTTTTATTTGTGTGGTTTGTATGTTTTCAACATTTTTAACATCATCTTATAGACTAGGTTATAAATAATTAACAGTATCCAGCATGATGCATGTCAGCATTCTAGTATTTTCATTATTTATTTTATATCATTTGCATGATTTGTTTTATTTGTCTAATTTGGATGAATAGATTCACAACAAATAAAAACTTCTTATTGGTTATGATAGTTATGAGTCTATTGTTGATTTGAATAAAAGGCTTTTTGGAATTCAGATTAAGTGATAATTTATTGGTAAGTCTAAATCCTAGGGATCTTTAAGAAATTAGCTGCAAGATAAGATGAGGGTGATATAAGATTTTATAAAACATATTAAATGCTTATGAAATATAAATTTTAAGAGGATCCAACTGTTTTATTTTCTTAAATGTATCTTTTTTCACTCTACATCACAAACTTACCGCTAGAGTTGTTTTTTTTCTCTCTTTTCATCTTCTTATGGATTTACATTTACCTTATAAAATCCATAACGTTGGATGTTATATTTTTTTTTTGCCATGGGATGGTTGGCTTATACATCTTGATTCATGGATTAACTCGTCCTAATCTGATAGGAACCTGATCAATTTTTTACACAGAAATTAGGGCTAATAATATATTTTATTGTGAAAAGTCAAACATAATATAAAGATAAGCACCTACAATTTGAGAGGCATGCAATCTCTCCCAATTTCTGAAATTTTGAGATAGGAAATCTCTCCCAAACCTTAAACCTAAGACAATAATCTCATGCATAACGCTAACCCTAAACATATTAGCACTATTTATACTAAGCCATAATAAATAATGTTGGATGTTATAGTTTTTCGTGTCATGAGATCATTGGCTTATACATTTTGATTAATGGATTAACTTATAGGAATCTGATAGGAACCAAATCAATCACACAGAAATTATGGCAAATAATGTATTTATTGCAAGAACATCAAGAACCTGCAATTCGAGAGGTAGGCGATCTATCTCAATTCCTACAATTTGAGAGATAGAAAATATGTTCTTAACCCTAAACCTAAGACTCGCAATAATAATCTCGTGTATAACCCTAACCCTAAATATATATGTTTATGCTAAACCATAATATATTTGATAGGAGCCGAATCAATTTTCCACACAGAAATTAGGGCCAATAATATATTTTATTACAAGAACATCAAACATAATACAAAGATAAGCACTTACAATTTGAGAGATAGGCTATCTCCCTAATTCCTATAATTTCAGAGGTAGGAAATCTTACCCAAACCCTAAACCTAAGACTCCTAACAAAAATCTTTTACATAGCCCTAAAAATATTAGTCATATTTTACTAAACAATTATAAATGACAAAAGATTAAATTGTCTGTAGACTAATAAAAGACAAATTTGCCCTTAAGGTGCCGATATAACTTTATCACAATTGTCTTGCCCAAACTCACATAACCACTATCCAAAGCACCAAATTTTTTTCCGAGCCATGTGATTAATTTAGACTTTTCCTCTCTAACAAATTATTTTAGCAGCTCTCAAAATTCTTTCAATCAATGATTCCATCTACAATCAACAATGGTTTCCTTCTACAACCACTAATTTATCGGGACATAATGTTTTGCTATCTTTTATTTGTGAGACTGTTAGAACTTTGCGTTATACATCTTCTGTTTTTTATTCACTAAACTATTGCACCATATAGTAATTTCCAACCATTTTTTTATCATTATTTTAGTGAGCGCAAGGAGTTGTTTTACCGGTGAAAATTAGAGACGTACGAAAGTTCATTTATGAAGTATTGAAACCTATTATATTTGATTGAATCTTTATGGATTTTAAAAAATACGGTATCTAAGCCTGTTTCGGGTTAGCATTAGTATCATTGGGGTGTGTAAAATTAAATGAACTTGTTTAGTAAAATATAAAAATTAGTTTTGAAAAAGTTTTATGCTATTTTGTGTGCGTTTTTAAAGGGCTTCGTAGGTTTTCTTATACCAATGTGAGGTTTAGATTTTTCCTCTGGTGATTTCTATCCTTGTTCTTTACTTTTATTTTGTGGCTGGTGTGTGTGTGTGTGAGTGCATGATTGAAGTTTGTCAAGTTTGGAACATTCCAGATTCGTTATTGTTTTAAAAAAAATATTGTTTGTGAATTATATTTCTTATGATATTCAAGATATTGGTGATTATTATATCGTTATTTTAAATAAAAGAATTGTCTTTTTTTCACATTAAAGACTACTAATTTTATCTAGATTTGAGAGTTGGTACATTTGTTTTTTTTTTTTGCTCTTATTTTGATTGTGAATCTCATCCCAAAAGTAAAATTATTCCCAAAATCTTTCTACATGATCAAAATAGTAGAGTAGAGGTTGTTAGCCTCTACCTTAATGCTAACCCATGCCTTCCCCGTGCTTGTTTTCTGTGGCTTCTTTATATTGCTTCATTTGCAGGATTATGTTAGAGTTCTTCCTCAAGCTAGTAATGTGTTTTACTGTAGATAGGATTTACTGAACTGCAGGGACAATCTGATTGATGGCTTTGCTTTATACAGGGCGCAAGGGACTCAAAGGTGCACAACCAGGCCCAGTTCTCTCTTGGACTCAAAGAGTTAAAATTGCTGTAGGAGCAGCAAGGGGACTGGAATACCTCCACGAGAAAGCACAACCCCGTATTATTCATCGAGATATCAAGTCTAGCAATATACTACTTTTTGACGAAGACGTGGCAAAAATTGCTGATTTCGATCTTTCCAATCAATCCCCGGACATGGCAGCTCGTCTTCACTCGACCAGGGTACTTGGAACCTTTGGATATCATGCCCCTGAGTAAGTTTATCTAAAGTTTGTTGACAGAACTGTTTTAATTTCCTGAATGGCTTTCTGGCTGTGTTTTTCTTAAATGGTTATTTTAGCTTCTCAGCTGAAATAATTCATGTTCAAGAAAAGTGTCAAAGTGGTCCCCAAACCCTTTGAAGGGGGCCATTTAGTCCGAGAGTTTATAAAAATGTCAATTTAGTCCCCAGACTCTTTTAATATGGGTTGAAATAGTTAAGATTATTTTAGCCTCCATTAAAATAGTCCAATGACTGCCAGGTATGCAATGACTAAGACATGCTAAGTGTTCGGGGACTAATTTGATACTTTCCTCATGCCTGTTCTAATATGTGATGGCATGCACAGGTATGCAATGACTGGGCAGCTTAGTGCCAAGAGTGATGTTTATAGCTTTGGAGTTGTTCTTTTAGAACTATTGACCGGCCGCAAACCCGTCGATCATACATTACCGCGGGGCCAACAAAGTCTCGTCACATGGGTAAGGAAGTCTTTTCTCTCGCACCGGTTCTCTTAAATCTTCAAGGAAAGATGTTTGTTTTTTCTTTGCTTAGTTGATGTTCTAATGTTCAGGCGGCACCAAGGCTGAGTGAAGATAAGGTTAAGCAGTGTGTTGATACGAGATTAGGAACAGACTATCCTCCCAAGTCTGTCGCCAAGGTAATTTTTATGTGCTGCTATTATCCTTGTGTAATGTGGAAGATCGACAAATTTTATTAGATATTTTGGTAGAACGCCAATGTAGGTATTCAAAATTTATTTTTTGTTGGAAGCTGTAGTTTAAGCTGATTAATCATATGTGATTTATCCCTAAATATTTAATAAAAATGAATGTAACTGCAATTATTGCTGTAATACCAATCAGTGCCTAAGGTTTCATTTGAAACAACGGTGACGTTCAACAAATTTTTTTTTAGAAGTTGTGCTCGTTGCCGGAGAACAAGAGCTGCGAGAATTGCTGGAGACGTTCGTCTCCCTCTGTTCATCAAATGAAATTTTTTTGGAGGCTTCGGTGTTCGGTCCAAACAAACAGAACTTCCGCGCCGTTTCGAAGGAAGCCTAAACATTCTCAATTGTATAGAACCCAAATAATGGTTTCTATCATAGAATTATCGTGCAATAGAAATATGAGTTTGTCAATTTAAACATTTCACAAGTTTTTTACTGGCGTATCTCAATCATGAGATATTTTTGATGCTTGCTAGAATGTTAAATGTTTATATTATCTCAACACAATTTAAATTGTTTTTAATAAGGTGTAGTATGATTTTTTTTTTCCAGTTTGCTGCTGTAGCTGCCTTGTGCGTACAGTATGAAGCCGATTTCCGGCCAAACATGAGCATTGTTGTGAAAGCGCTGCAGCCTCTACTAAACGCGAGGTCAGGCGGACCAGCTGTTGAATCTTAATGATTTTGTTTGTGATTTCTCCTATTGGTTTTTCCTGAACCTGTCATGCAATTTGTTTGTTAGTGATTTTAGTGTCGTGCAGTAATATATATATATATGTTGTAGTGGTTTGAAAATTATTTGGAACGAAGATGTGTTGTAATTTGTAAGTTCTTATTAATTTATTTGATCTTTACTTTATAGTTTCTTCCCTCGACGCTTTTTTTTTTTTTGTGCATTATGGTAGTATTTGACTGCCATTTAATTTCTAATCCTGAGTTGCGTGGATTGTGGTGTGTGATTTCTATTAGTTCTGTTTGGAAAACGATTAAAATGTTGAGATGATTCCTTGATGGTAAGGCTGCTAATTTCATCAGATTCTCTCATGAAAACCGATAAATGGACGGTCAGGATTTTTCTGAGAGCTTGGGATTACATACAACTCATGATTACATAGCTGTTGCCGGTAAAGATTTTCTCATTCGAGTCCATGAAAGCTCGCGTTCGATCTTCAGTCTGTAAAATCTGCGTTGTAGAAGCTGCACAAATTTTATGGTACTGAGTCATATTGAATCTCAAACTATTAAATTTATTTTGAGTCTTGTATTGAATGAATTAATTTATAGGATATTTATTTATTTTAAATAAATTCAAATTTTTAACTACTATAATAAATAAAATTTCAGGTATATTCAAAAACATTTTTTTTTTATGTAAATTGTCTTGCCCATAAAACGCCTAATTTTTTTGTGCGGACTCCTGACGTAGCTTACGTGCGACGGATATTATTACCGAGTTATTTTCAGGTTATTTTTGGAAATATTTTCAATAATCTCAAAATAATATTGAAAATAACTTAAAAATAACCCGTGGTCTTTATTTTTTGGTTATTAGTGGATTATTTTGGGATTATTGAAAATAATTCAGAAATAAACTGAAAATAACTCCTGAATAATTTTCGCCGCACGTAGAGCTACGTCAGGAGTCCAGACATAAAATACGCTTCCAATAAACAGCCCACTTTAAGCGAATTAAAAAGTGAAATTGTCAAATTTATTCATTTGCCTGTATTGAGCACTATTAATAAACAACACAAGCTCAAAAGCAGGATGAATGCTGAGCCATGAAAAATTCATCAAATGTTGTTAGCAGAGACTTAACAAATCAAAATTGAACTAACATGGAAGGAAATCACAAGAACAATACCAATAGTAAAATAGATATCATCTACAAAAATTATAACTGAGCCTATCTTCAACAACAAATAACCAGTGCTCCAGTTTCAGATATTTACAAGTTACACAGCACCCTCAGCATCAAATGAAATTTACAAGGGTTATTTTAGTAATTTATTTTATTTACATGACAACATAAGCTAATCACTATAATCTTCATCAAGAAAGTCTAGATCAGCATCATCCACATCATTTACAGCTCCTGCGGTTGAAGGATGAAGTGAAGTGTGTGCAATATGCCCAAACACATTGCTCCCTACCTCTACATCAAAATATTCATCATCATTCACCTCATGTTGATGACTCCCTCGTTGCGCCCTCTCATCACAAGGAATTTCCTGGTTCATTACCATGCAAATGACCTCATCACAAATCATTGTATATCTAAGACCAAAATTTTACTTTTTTTCAATTTATACCACCAATATCTTTCATATCACATCAAAATTACCATCATTTTAACTTTTAGAAAGTAAAAGATAGCTTTTTCATGCATGAGTAAGGTGGGCATGTATGTAAATATTTAAGTTCAAGTGTTGGATATATAAATGCATAAGAATTGATCAGTATATATATGCTGATTTCCGAGTCCATGATACCTCTGGAATATCAGTAACAAATATGCATAATGCAAGCACCAAAGTTTGTCTAAACATGAAAAACAATATACATGTAGGCAAATGATAAAAAAATTTACCTCATTTTCCTGCGCGGCTGTTTTCTCAGTTCCAATAACCCAATCTGCCAACAAGCTTTCTAACAAAAAATTATCAAGATAAATATAGTCATCACTTGATGACTTCAACCTCCTCTCCCTGAGTCTCAAATTATAGTGCACATATGCAAAATTATCCAATCTTTTTTGTACCGTTTGATTTTGCCTCGAACCGTGAACATTATCGAAGACACTCCACTTGTGTTCACAACAAAAGGACGAACATGTCTGGCTTAATATGCGAACAGCAATTCGCTGCAGCTCCAAGCAACTAATTCCATGTTGTTGCCACCATGCAGCTATCAGTAAAAATAAAAATTGATCATCAAAAGAAAAGAGTCTACATAAACATGTAAATTTGAAATACAGGAAACCAAACAAGAAATTCATAAAAATAAAATGGAATATTCACATACATAGCACTCGATTCCTACACAATTACATATTTAATACCTAATCTTTTTTACATAAATGCTACCCTGCCTATGCATGAAAAAAGTGTATTTAACTTCCTAAAAGTTAAAGTAGTGATATTTTTGATGTGATGGGAAAACTTGGGTGGTATTAATGTAAAAATCAAAGTTTAGGCGTTAGATATGTAAATACATAAAAATTGGGTAGCCTGTATGTAAATGCACCAAATAAAATTCATAATCAATTTAGGGGCCAACCAATTTACCTGGATCCAATTCAGACCTTGTGCTTAAAGCCAGCTCAGTTCCAAAATCAGCTTTAGCAAGAACAAAGTCAGAAATCTACAACAAACAGGAAAAAAAGCCACCTAAAATCAAATGAAGATGAAATGATTGCTAATTCTAATGCGACTAGAAGCAAAATGAAGAGAAATCGGATATAAAATAGGTAAGCAATCAAGTACCTGAGCAACAGCAGAAACCCTCCGCCCGCTATCTGGTTCCAATCGAGTAATGCATTCATTGAGACCGCGAATCACCTCTGGCAGCTAAATAATACAGAACCATCTCAAATTTACAAGAATGAGATGATAATTTTTAAAATATGACGATACATTTAAAATCCATACCGCCATGAAATCAGGACGATAACGGAATGATGGATTAAGGAAATATGCTGCCAGGTAAAGAGGTTGGTTAAACAGAGAATCCCAAAAACTGTCAATCACATTCAAAAAAGGACTGTATTTCCGCTCATCACCTCCATGAATAGCTTTTATAGCAGCCTTTGCTCGGTAGATGTCATTATAGATAAAAGGCATAGGCAAGGCTTCACCACTTGCAATCTTTTTAATCACATTCAACAAAGGTTCTACAGTTTTACATATATATTGTACCTTTTTCCAGAATGTGGAGTTCATAACAACTTTCTCAATCTCTGTTCCTTCATCCGACTTGGTTAATTGAGAAGAAAGCCATTTACTAGACTGAAACAATCTTTTGAGAGCCGACCTATGACTTAGCAAGCTTTGCAATGTAAAAAAACTAGTAGCAAACTTAGTAGAGGCTGATCTAAGAAGTTCTCTTCCTCCAGTGAAATCCTCTCTCATAAGATTTAGTAACCAGATATGGTTATAAATAAATTTGGTGATCTTTTGGCCTTTGCTAATGGACTCTTCAACCCATTTTATTTTCAGAAAACCTTCGAGTATTTGGTCGATGCAATAAATAGCACACGGTGTCCAAAATAAGCATCTTCTATTTTCCTGCAGCAGCTTTCCAGCAGATATAAAACAGTCTGTGTTTTCTGTGATCACCTGTGCAATTGACAATACTTAATAATGACAATGGTCTTAAAATAAATCATGCACTTTAAGCAACATTCATGTTTTCATGTAAATATAACAAATAATATGTTGTAACTGGAATAATAGGGGAAGCAAGATGAAGAAATGATAGCTAACATACCTGCACGACATTTTCTTCTCCAAGCTCCTGAACTACTCCGTCCAATAATTTGAAAAGACTAGAAACGTTTTCAATTATATCGGATGCATCAATACAAGAAATATAGTAAGTTCCTCTAGGGCAAGATACTAGCGTATTCATTAGTGTTCTTCCTTGCACATCTTTCCAATTATCTAAAATAACAGTACAGCCTGTGGTATTCCATGAAGCCTTAACTTCTGTTATTTGTTCTTTTATTGCTGCAACTTCATTTTGGAGTAATCGACCTGAAATTTCAGTGGCAGAAGGGACTTTCAATCCTTGTCCATGCTGACCAACCAAATCAAGCATTTTATGGAAATACGGGGAGTCTACAACGCTAAAAGGTACAGCAGCGTAATAAAAGAATTTACAGATTGCAGATATTACATCGTTATGGCCCTTTATATCCCCCGTTTTTAATTTAGGCCGCTTAAACTTTGATGTTGATTGACTTTTGCATGAATAATTGAGCTTTAATTGTTGCTCCTCATTGCCATCTATAGCTAAAGATGAACTCTCCACTTTTCTTCTTGGCTGATCGAAGCAGACATCTTTATCGCCGGGCAACTGCATAGGCTTATTACCATCATCTAGAAATTCTTCAGCCTCTGAGTTCACATAAAAGGCATTATGTTCTTTAACTTCAGGCCTTCTTCTCCAGCCCGTACGATGCCATTTCATATTTTCTTTTATCTGAAGATATACTTCCTCAGGAGCCATTTTACAATAAGCAACTTCACCAGGAATCCTAGCTAAATGCTGCTTAAAACGGTTTATACCCCCACTTACTATCTTCTCACAATAGTTACATTTCACCTTTTTCTTCTTCTCATCTAGAGCAATACCATGCTCCCAACCAGGATCAACAAAACCAGAAGAACGGAGAATTGTGATGCTTGGACCCGCACTTTGGCTGCTGGTTCCCAGTCTCTCCTTCCATTTGTAACCAATATTTACTCCTTCACCCTCATCATTTGATTGAAAATTAGACAAATGTTGTTGATCCTCAACCAATCTACGCTTTCTGCTACCCTGATATCCTTCCAAATTTTCTTTCATTTCCAATATAACCTCCCTTGGAGCTTTTCTGCAACATTTAACTTCACCAGAGACTCTAGCTAAATGTTGTTTTAATCTGTATATTCCCCCGCTTACTATCTTCCCACAATAATTGCATTTCACCTTTTTCTTCTTCTCATCCTGAGAAACACCATGATCCCATCCTGGATCAGTGTACCCTATAGATCGAAGTGGGGCCATCCTTCAATCATGAATATTGTAACAAGAAACCAGAGGCTTCCCCCAATTATTCATCAAGCTTTTAGATCTCTGCGAAAGAAATATCAAAACTAAACTTGACAGGCTTGTTTCCCGCTCTTGCATTCTAATTGCTTGAAAGAACATCATTCTCAACAACACTAGTTTGACGGACAACAGGAACAATCCTGTAGAAAAAAAAAGGCTCATTTGTTAATTTCTTATACAGATGCATGCAAATTTAATATAAAAAAATATTCCATATTTGCTATCAATGTAAAGATATTTTGATTCGGCTTAACCATCCATCAACTACAATTTCTTCAGCCCGATTTCAAAGCCAGTTGATGTGTTGATACATACATTATACAAAAAGGCAGAAATCATGCATGAACAAGAGCCACAAAACCATGAAGATGCAATGTTTGCCTTAGAAACTCAGAGGATGTTGGAGGTCCTTGGACACTTTTTCAAGTTCCTCGTGTCCTTTTGTTTTTAGGCTGTTTTTTTGAAGGACTTGGGGTAGCAGTAGATGTATCTACATATCTTACAAAAATAAAAAAAGAATAATAAAAAATAAAAATTAAAAAAAGAAGGAACTTTTCATATAAAACGCTACTTATTCTTGCTTACTTGGACAGTATTTGACATATTGTTATGTCCTCTGCATAAGTTCCCTCTTTTGACTCTTTAAGAAGATAACCATATATAGTAATATAAAAGTTTTATGTGATATACAGTCCTCATCATAAAACTTGAACAGAACAATCAACATGTAGTTAAAAAAACACCACCTTTTATCTAATAACTAAAACTTGACGCCATTTATGGGCTTATTCATAGACCAAACATTATTTTGAAGTCATCAAACAAGAGATTTGCAACAGAAGTCAGTAAAATAGAAGTAGAAATGATGATAGAAGTGGATATAGAGCTTAGAGACTACTATAATGTATACTCAATAAGAAAATCAGAAGATAAGGCATGTCTTAAATAGACATGAGTCTAATAGAATCGCGCGTATATGACAATGGGTAGGTGAGCATCATAGAGATAAATTTAATACATATGGTTCAAGAAGGCACAAATGCCAATATTACTCTTGCAAGCCCATTTTCCTTCTATCTCACTCTACATTTGATTGATTTCAAAAGAAAGCACAAATGCCAATATCATTCTTGTAAGCCTATTTTACAAGCATCTAGCTTTTTTGAATAACTTTCTCCACATCCATACAAATGGATGCATGAAAGGTAAAATTCCACGTGACAAATCAAACATCAATCCATTTTATCTAAATCCTGAGAATCACGAATTCATTGCTTTATTCAGACTGTGGTCATAGCCGTAAAGACAGTTTTGGCAATAAATTAAATCAAGCTGCTCCAAAACATATTAAACGGTTAAAATCACCAAAAGCTAGGCAAAAATAAACCTAGCAGCCTGGGACCACGAAGCAAATGATCAAGGAATGGTGAAGGGGAAAAGATCAGCGGAATCACCCAACGGAGGAATTGAGCAGGAAGAAAGCTCGGTAGAAGAGGAAACCCTAGTAAAATACTACTCAACTCACCACCTTCAGGAATCGCCTCCGAGCCCTGGCTCGCTCGCCCTCCTACTCCAGCGTCTGTGGCTCTCCATTCTGACTCGTTGACTCGGATCAGTTGTATTATATATATCGAGCCGAGGCAGGGTCGGGGCCTGGCCGGCAGTGCCGTAAGCGTTCTGATGTCGCCCGGGTCGGGTTAGAAGAACGATCCCAACTCAGATTGCTCTGTTTTGGCGTAAAAATATTACCTGCGAATAGAATATGCATCCAGTGTTCAACTGGAGTCAAGTGGGCCCCACAAATTTTATCACGGATCAATCACAATGTATTGCGGTTGGCTCACAGTGTATTGCGGTTGGCTCACTTGATACGTGTCGCCTCACTATTGGACTCACGATGCATCCGGAGTCTTGACCTAATATTTTTTAGCGAATATGATAGGTGTGGATTAATAAGAGTGTAAACGAACCGAACACAAAATGAACAAAGCTTGTGTTCGTGTTCGGTTCGTTTAAAATTTAATTTGTTTGAAATAAGCTCATGTTCGAAATTGTTTGTGAAGCCACTATTCGTATTCGTTTCTTAACAAATGAGCCGAACACGAGCTGTTCGCGAACGACGAGACACATTCCTAATAGTAATATATATATAAATAATATATTATATTAATTATATAACTTATATTATATAAATATTTAATATCTATATTAGCATATTACTAATATAATATATTAATATATTATTATTATTAATTTATTATATTTTATAATTTATAAAATTTAATTATTTAAATTATCATAAATTTTTTGTATATTATTTTAAATTATTTTATATTTCGAACAATAATGGTTCGAACACGAACGAACGCATCATTGTATATATATATATTATATTATTTTATATTTCGAACAATGACAATTCAAACACGAACGAACACATCACTGTTCGTGTTTAGTTCGTTTAACTAATCGATGGAAAAAATTTGTCCACGTTCGCCTCGTTTACTTATCGAACGAATCGAACGCGACCAAACATGAACTGTTCGTGAACAATGAGCTTTTTTGACAACTCTATGTGGATAGGCGTGGCTATTTGGTGATATTGAAGTGATTATTATTGTGAATATCACCTCAACGATCTGTACATGCTGATATTGCACGTAATATTCGCTTCGCTCTCAGGCTAGAGTGGGTGAAACGTATCTGTATTTTATTGTTTCATTTAAGACAGGGCTTTACTTGGAAGCACTTGGTTGAATTTCTTAAGCAGCCCTAAGATCAAATATTCAAGTATACATGACATATGTACCATATGTTTAAGGGATATTTAAACACATATCACTTAGAATTTTTTTAATATTACATACTTCACAATTTTTTTTATTGTATATCTCTCATCCAAAACATTAAAATAAGCACAAAAATAACATCTTCACTAAAACAGTAACCCTGTTAAAAATTTATCGTTCCGTTTGCTCGCCGATCAATTATGGGTGCGATGTAATCAGAATAATTAGGAAGGCAACGACGGAATTGTGGCGAACAAAAAATTGATACCATCGAAAAATAACCCTCTTCTTTCTACCACTTCCTCCTATCGTAGTCCATTGAGAAAACCATTCTTATATATTTACATATCTAACATATAAACATTCATATTTATATACATTCGACTGATATCTTTAACATCATATAAGAAATAACACAAATACTATCTTCTCGGTGAAATACACATTTTTCATGCATGGTGACAAAACTATACTTTGAATAAAAAATCAAATAAATAAAAAAATATAAATATATAAATATAAAAATATATATATA